TATTGATATGAAATCATCCTCAGGTAATGTAGATTCAAGTTTGTTCAAATCATGACCCCCGGGGGTAGGGTGGGGCCACAATGGGGGATCAAAGTTTTACATAGGAATACATAGGAAAATTCTTTAAAAATCTTCTTCTCAAGAACAGCAAAGCCACAATTAGTCATATTGATATGAAATCATCCTCAGGTAATGTAGATTTAAGTTTGTTCAAATCATGACCCCCGGGGGTAGGGCGGGGCCACAATGGAGGATCAAAGTTTTACATAGAAATATATAGGAAAAATCTTTAAAAATCTTCTTCTCAATAACAGCAAAGCCATGATGAGTCATATTTATATTGCAGCATCCTCAGGTAATGTAGATTCAAATTTGTCCAAATGATGACCCCTGGGGGTAGGGCGGGGCCACAATGGAGGATCAAAGTTTTACATAGAAATATATAGGAAAAACCTCTAAAAATCTTCTTCTCAAAAACAGCAAAGCCCTAATTTTCATATTTATATGAAAGCATCCTCAGGTAGTGTAGATTCAAATTTGTCCAAATGATGACCCCTGGGGGTAGGGCGGGGCCACAATGGAGGATCAAAGTTTTACATAGAAATATATAGAAAAAATCTTTAAAAATCTTCTTCTCAATAACAGCAAAGCCCTAATTTTCATATTTATATGTAAGCATCCTCAGGTAGTGTAGATTCAAGTTTGTTCAAATCATGACCCCCCGGGTGTAGGGCGGGGCCACAATGGAGGATCGAAGTTTTACATAGAAATATATAGGAAAAATCTTTAAAAATCTTCTTCTCAGGAACAGCAAAGCCCTGATTGATCATATTTATGTGGAAGTATCCTCAGGTAATGTAGATTCAAGTTTGTTCAAATCATGACCCCCGGGGGTAGGGCGGGGCCACAATGGAGGATCAAAGTTTTACATAGAAATATATAGGAAAAATCTTTAAAAATCTTCTTCTCAATAACAGCAAAGCCATGATGAGTCATATTTATATGGAAGCATCCTCAGGTAGTGTAGATTCAAGTTTGTTCAAATCATGACCCCTGGGGGTAGGGCGGGGCCACAATGGAGGATCAAAGTTTTACATAGAAATATATAGGAAAAATCTTTAAAAATCTTCTTCTCAATAACAGCAAAGCCATGATGAGTCATATTTATATGGAAGCATCCTCAGGTAATGTAGATTCAAGTTTGTTCAAATCATGACCCCCGGGGGTAGGGCAGGGCCACAATGGAGGATCAAAGTTTTACATAGAAATATATAGGAAAAACCTTTAAAAATCTTCTTCTCAATAACAGCAAAGCCATGATGAGTCATATTTATATGGAAGCATCCTCAGGTAGTGTAGATTCAAGTTTGTTCAAATCATGACCCCCGGGGGTAGGGCAGGGCCACAATGGAGGATCAAAGTTTTACATAGAAATATATAGGAAAAATCTTTAAAAATCTTCTTCTCAATAACAGCAAAGCCCTAATTGGTCATATTTATATTGCAGCATCCTCAGGTAGTGTAGATTCAAATTTGTCCAAATGATGACCCCTGGGGGTAGGGCGGGGCCACAATGGAGGATCAAAGTTTTACATAGAAATATATAGGAAAAATCTTTAAAAATCTTCTTCTCAATAACAGCAAAGCCCTAATTTTCATATTTATATGAAAGCATCCTCAGGTAGTGTAGATTCAAGTTTGTTCAAATCATGACCCTTCGGGGGTAGGGCGGGGCCACAATGGAGGATCAAATTTTTACATAGAAATATATAGGAAAAATCTTTAAATATCTTCTTCTCAGGAACAGCAAAGCCCTGATTGATCATATTTATGTGGAAGTATCCTCAGGTAATGTAGATTCAAGTTTGTTCAAATCATGACCCCCGGGGGTAGGGCGGGGCCACAATGGAGGATAAAAGTCTGAAATAGAAATATATAGGAAGATATGTTCTGATGATAATCAGGCAAAGCCATGATTAGTCATTTTGATATGGAAGCATCCTCAGGTAGTGTAGATTCAAGTTTGTTAAAATGATGACCCCAGGGGATAGGGATGGGCCATAATGGGGGATCGAAAATTTTACATAGGAACATATAGGAAAATATCTTCTTCTCAAGAACTGAAAATCATGTTTAGTCATTTTGATATGGAAGCATCCTCAGGTAGTGTAAATTCAATTTTGTTCAAATGATGACCCCCGAGGGTAGGGTGGGGCCCAATAAGGGGATCAAAAGTTTTACATAGGAACATATAGAAAAAAATTTCTTCTCAAGAACAGAAAAGCTATGTTTAGTCATATTGATATGGAAGCATCCTCAGGTAGTGTAGATTCAAGTTTGTTCAAATGATGACCCCTGGGATAGGGAGGAGCCACAATGGGGGATCAAATTTTTACAGAGGAATATATGGGAATTTTTTTTAAAAATCTTCTCAAGTACAACAAAGCCATTTGTTAAAACAAATTATATATTGACATGGAAGCATCATCAGGTAGTCAAAAATTCAAGACCCCCCCCCCCCCCCCCCCCCCCCGGAATCTTTTCAATACTGAACTGATTTGTGCTTTTGCCTTGCCAATGTGCTCAGGTGAGCGATGTGGCCCATGGGCCTCTTGTTTTCCTAGCCACAGTGCTCAGGTGAGCGATGTGGCCCCTGGGCCTCTTGTTACTTTTTGTTAGTGGAAATTTTATCTAGAATTTGAATCTCTCAATCCAAAGGTTCATGGTATCAGAATCAAAATTCTACATTTATTTAATTTATAATGACTTAGTCAACAATTTTGTAAACCTTTGTTAGCCTACATATAATCTATTCATAAACTTTTATAGACCCTGTACATGATGAAAACAAGAAAGAAAAAACTTTTTAAAAATTTATTAGGAATAGATACAGGAGGAGAATAAAAATATAAATATCATAAAATTTAGTGCGCATCATGACATAGATCAATGAATTTGATTATAATTTCACCATAAAGATAATAAATAAATCCATTATGTTATATCGACCATTTTCAGGTGAATGTCCTTCAAAAGGCTAGAGTTCAGTTCACATGAAATTGAATTTGTAAGGGATGACTTCTTTGAGTGACAAAAATAAGGTAGCTTCTATGCATAATAGAAAGTATTTTTCAGATAGAAAGGGTATACAAGTATGTATGTATACTAAATGTGTTGCAAACTCATTTCTAAAATTCATCATACCAAGAAAAAATGATATTAGCACAAAGCTAGGAGGATCATGACAAAGGAAAAAAAATAACAACATTCAGATTAAAAATTTTCCTGCCCATTCCTTTGAATATAGATCTGATTTCTTTGAGCAAATCATAAGCTGGTAATGTTTACCTCTGATACTAGGAATCTATTTTAAGACATCAGGAGGTTTTTTTTTTTTTTTTTAAAATTGTTTTTCTCTCCTAGATTAAAAGTTTCAAGAGTTTGTTTAAAGACGTACCTTCATAAATTTTTCCAAAATGAATTAAAATGATATGTAAGATTAGCTTATTATAGCACAGCTTGAAGCTGAATAAAGGAGAAATGAAGTATGTATAAACGTTTTGATCTGAGTTGAAATCAGCATGATTGCTGATGTCTGTGGAATCTAAATGTTGTAAAATAAATCCGATATAAAATTTGTTGCATGCCTCGTAATGTTGCTATTATGCTTCTTCAGAAACAAGCTCAGATTGATCCGATCCTGCTGTGAGGGGGATCTTAATGGATTTTGTTTTATCCGACAAGTCACTCATTTCATATTCATCAGAAGTCACTCTCTTTTGCATACTGTCATTTGTATCGAGATCTGACGAAAAATTCTCTGTGGCAGAAAAAAATGCATTATCATCCTCAAATGACTCTGAAGGACCTTGATGCAATGCGTCCCTGTATCCAGAATCACTTGATGAAACGTCTATCTGATTCAGACTGGGGGCTTTGTGGAGGAGAATGGATCCCCCTGCTTCACATGAGAGAGGTCCATGTCCATTCAGATAATCGTTGTTTTGATTTCTAGCACAACACACATGTGAATGATGAAAGTCAACGTCAGTTGTGTCTGACATCTGTAGATTATAATTATCATCACCAAAACAAACGTGAGTTTGATCACACAGCTTGCTTTGGTGTGTCCTTTGTTGCTCCCTTTCTAAAGTCACGTGATCAGGTTCAGAGTCTGTCGAGTACTGTGACATAAGATGTTTTTTCCCAAGGTAAGACGGTTTTTGACAATGCTTGGCAACTTTGGGTCGCGCCCCCGTACATATTGTAGGAGGGTGCTGACTGAATGTGACCTGATGGTGGTGGTGGCCATTACAGAGCTGTGAGGGAGCCGAGCGATACTCAGGATGAGTATAACAGGAACTATGATTACATCCTTCCTTATATAATCCATTATCACTGTGATCCGATATAAAATCGTCTTCTCGTTCGTGAGTCAAAGTATCACTGAAATCGTAGTGGAAATGAGAAGACATGCTGTCATATTTTCTACCGGTCATTCTCTGGTTGTGGTGCCAGCGTATGCCAAACGGACAGCGTGCCACTGCCACCACGATGAGCATGATGAGAAAGAGTGCCAAAACGGCACCTATGCTGCTGCCAACTGATATTGAGACAGGAATTCGCCAATTAGATGTTGAGGCATCAACACACTCCCTATCGGGTGTCACTGTGTTATTTTGATATATCACCAAACAAATTTTATAAAATGTATCAGCCACAAGATTCTTGATGTCATACTCGTTGGCAGTAGCTGGTAATCTAGGGCCATACTGCACATACTTGCTAGCCTCTTTTTGGTAATGCACCTGGAAGGCCAGTATAGTAGACCTGAGGAGATTTTCGTTTAATGTTCCCCAGGAGAGGTGGATGGAGGATGTAGTGGATGACTCCACGTGGAGATTGTGGAAAGCTGTCTCAGCTGAAGTGGTGGATAACATTTTTCCTTCAAGGGTGGGCATCACACGGATGTACCCAGAGTTCAATTACCCATCCAAGCTCTGAAAGAGTGAAAGCCTGTTATTAGAGAGCAGTTCTAATGTAATAAATTTATATATATTAATTGAATACAGATGTACAAATCAGCTGGATTAATGCTTTATTTTAATTATACATGTACATATTGATATATCCACTAAAACCAATAATGTACATAAAATACTTATATCTAATAGCCACTGATATTTCCGATGGCTATATGATATACATTTTTTGAAGAAGACTTAATAATGCCCACATTAAGGAATGAATATCTGACGAGTTTCTCTTGAGGGAAACAAATTCATTATTTTATGTTACCCATCTTTTGATATGTTTGTACAATAAGTAAATGCAAAGATATGCTGACTTTGTAATCATGAGAGGTCACTGGCAACTTAAAATAAAACTCTGTTGTATTGTATAAAAAAAAAAAAATTTCAAGATAACCATTGCAAAAAATTACCACTTTGATAGTCCCTCTTGCAAGCAAGATGTAAAATTATTGTAAGTAATTTTTGGTAGCACTTAATTCTCTCGTTTTGTGATTTTCCATGAGTTGAGCAAAAGTAATATAGCCCCTAGCATAATGTGTAAGAAAAACACTGAAAGGCAAATTTGGCAAGTCCATAGACAGTAGAACACATTAATTTTTTAATAGCAACATGGCAGAGATGAACAATGTTGATTTGTTGTAATCAAAAAAATTTGCAATTTTAGTTAATAAGGCCAGGTAAAATTAATCTTTAGATTCTCATCCCCGCCCGCCCCTCTCAAAGTGCCCCGCCCCGTTGTTTTTTATTTTGCTTTTTGAGCGTCAAACGTATTATTTTCATGTATTTTTATACAGCAAGAATCTGGGTCAAAATTTAAGAGTTATCTCCCGTCTGTATTAAAAGTCGCTATTTATAGCAAAAAACTATGTGAAGAATGGAGAAAAATTGGCAATAAAAGCAGTTTAAATATGTAAGGTAAAGATAATTTGTTAGTATAGAGAAGGCAGAAAAGCAAAAATAACATAAACACATCTAGATACCATCACTGGTCAAGTTTTAAATAACGATCTCCAGTTATATGTGATTTTGCATTAAAAAAATTAAACATCGTCCAAAGACTTTAGAGAATAACAGTGCTAAGGAAATGTTAAATCTTAAAACTGTTCAGGCCTAGGTCTTTTCAGTAGAATATTTTACAGATATACACAATCCTGTTTTGCAAATATGATATATTTTAATGTCGAACATATCAAGTCTCAAGAACGATTGAATGTATGAGGACAGTGGAAATCTGTGATATCTGTATATCACACAGAACAGAAGGAGTTGTTGGTGAAAACTATAAGGGTATTTGGGGAAAAGCCGATGAGAAAAAATGCATATGCAATTTATTAGGATCAGCACCCCATTTTGTTTGGCGTGTGCCGTACCTATCTGTGTACTTGATAATTTGTTAATAAAACTATAAATATTTTAATTTTCTATAACAAGAATCTTCTGTAGATAAAAACAATAAAATCTATTCATATTGGCATTAACATAATGTAAAATTATGTGTACGAATATTTTGTTGATACTTTCAATTATAAAAAATAAAAAATAAAATCCACCCACCTGCCCCAATTTTTTAGCAAATTAGTATCTAAATTTTAAATTTATGTGGCCTAATACATTTTAAAATTACAAGGAAAGAATATACTTCATTGTTAGCTTGAATTTATTATTATAAGCATTGTTTATATGGATATGATGAATGAATGGATCAAAATATGGTAAATGAATCTTTTATATTGATTAGCAAATAGTAAACAATTAATATATTAGTATGGCTTCTTGATGACTCAGATGGATGTGTACAAGGATTGTTATAAATAGAATAAGTATAAAACAAAAATTCTTTAGGATAAAGAGTTGATTTTTATGTTGTTGATTTTAATCCACTGTTGGCTACCTGTAAACCAAGGTCCCATTTTGTAACTTAATCATGTTAATAGATGCTGGCACAAAAAAAGGACCCTTAATGCTCAAGGGCAATAAACATCAAGTACATATAGGATTTCCCATGGTTTGTGGTTGGATATGATTTTTTAATCTGAATTGTGTGTTTTCATCCCTGAGTCTTAGCGAGTTGGATAAAAACACACAATGAGTTGGATAAATATAGGATCTCCTATGGTTCGTGGTTGATTTTTTATCCAACTCATGTGATTTTATCTCCTCACCAAGGCCCAGGGATAAAAACACAGAACTTGGATAAAAAATCATGTCCAACCACAAACCATTGGAGATTCTTTTTGTCACACGTTTTACACATAGCTATTTCATGTTTTATACTGTTTATATATGTAAATCCACAATATTTGACTTGATCAAATTCACGTAAAAACCATTGTGACGTCACAACCATGGATATATGCGCTATATCCACTGTATAAAGGAGTAAACATGATAACGTTCTATATCCTTCCACCAGCAATTGGTAGTGACTCCCAACATGAGTGAAAAATTTCTCAAAGGGTTGTCAGAACAAATGTTATGAATTTCACTTTGGGCAGAAAAAAATTAACTTTGGCTTTATGATTTATCTTTTGAAAAATAATTAAATTCATACATTATAACTGTTAATTAATAGCAGGTACATTTAATTTGCATGCAGCTTAAATTCACCTGTCTCAACCTCATCTCAACTTTCTGATGGGAGAGGTCAGGGGTCCGTTTTACGAAAGAACTTAATTACGACTAAGACCAAAATTTGATTCTGCCTATTGCTTTCTAATTTACATTTATTTGAAAATGGTTTTAAAAATTTTTTTAAAAAGAATTTAACAAGATATTTTTATGCTAGCAATTTCAAACATAATAAATAATTTTGCAAAATTTTACAATCAACTAAAGATTTTGGTCTTAGTTGTAAGTTCTTTTGTAAAAACGGGCCCCAGATGCCTTAGTTGTAGATTTCAAGTACGTCGATCTCTTATTATTTTATGGTAGAATTTTTTAAAGAAGTCTTATTTCATCAAACTGTCAAATAATAACATCTAATGGTTGACTTCCAATCGCAATGAGATTAACTTCTTTTCAGACTCCTCAATAACATGTTACTTATTGCATCTTGAAAGAAGGAATTGTATTGCTTAATTTTTGTTAAGAATTCATCGATAATGGAGATACATTGGTATTCATTCCAATAGGAAATCAAATTACATTAATGAAAAAAGGTGTTGTCAGCACGCACACTAAAATTGTGTACAATTTAAAAAATAAGGTCTATTGATTTTATATTTATAATGTTGTTTATATGTTAATTGTCATTTCAATTGGATGTTTCTCAGAAAAAAAGTGAAGGAAGCACTGATTCTGATATCAGAATCTGAGATGTTCTTAAAAAAAAAAAAAAAGAACTTACTGGCATAATATTGGGATAAATAAATAATAAAAAAAAAGAAACAGATGGCATTAATGTTCAGGGAACTGGGTTATGATGTTAGTCTGGTGATATTTTTAGGAACATGCAGAAATTAAGAATGATCATGCAGAGTCAGTTTGAAAAAGGTCCCAAATTCAGATTTAAAAAAAATTATTTTGGTAAAAAGTTTTGCAAGGATATGAATTTGCAATATTTATTTATTTTTCAATATTAAGTATGATGAATAGACTTAAAAATATCAATAAGGATTAAATTTGTTAAGTATTTTGAAAAAAAAACAAACTATCTGATATCATACCATGATACTTGTACCATCTTATATCATATCATCTAATATCAAACCATCTGATATCATATACCATCTTTATCAGTTTTTCATCAGATATATGAAGTTCCTTTACGACTCTGTCTGTATTGGTTTAAAGACCAGCTGTCTTTTCAGTAGGATTGTCACTAATAAGGATTCAGTATAATCCTATATAGAAAGTACAAAATGTGAGCATTACTTATTGTTGTCTGAACTTAGATGGCCTTATGTTATGAAGGAGTGGTTGATCATTGGTATTATAATAATAAAGTACTTAAGACTATTAAGTAGGAGTATCCAAGCCGCTACTGCTGATATACTATATGTTATTTTAACACACTGAGTATTATACTTTTGTCAGAACTTTTCTCTAAAGGTACAATTGATACCAGTAAGTGAGACAAGAACGTGACTTAATTCTTTTATAAACTTGAAAAAACTGACATAGATTTATAGATTACTGCAAATATAATCCTTTTCTGTGTGTCATAATATATCACAGCTTGTAGTTTAATTGCAGTATTCGTGCACATTTCCATAGTTTATTAATTTTGAATTTGGGATACATATAGCCAGCATTTTTTGTTAAATTTTTTAGGGGTTACTTACTGCCCCTTCCCCCCTTTAATTTGTCTCTTTTTTGGTTGCCTCTTATGATCATGGTGTCACAGTCAGCTGTCAACACAAGCTTCGCCATCAAAGTCTTGACAGACTGCTGTATAATATTTGACTATACTCTGTTTTGGAAGTAGGCTTCTTTGTGGTTTGACCTTTGATTCATTTATTCTTGAAATGCTTAATAATCCATAGAATTTAACAATAAGTTGTGCTAATTGTTAAGGAGTACTAAACAGCAAATTCTGAATGAATGACTGTTGATCATGTTCTTGGGTTGAGTGTTTTAAAGATTCTAACTTGTTAAAAATCATCCTCACAAGCCAGAGGTCCTGAGTCAACACGTTGTCGTTGGACCAACGGCAACGTGTTGACTCAGGACCCCTGGCTTGCGAGGATGGTTATAAATAAACATTTTATTTTTTGAAAAGATCATTTTTATACTACCCACTTGAAAAGTTTGGGATATATAGTGTCCATCCTTCTGTCTGTGTGTCAGCAACAGTACCCATTTCTTATCCGCAACTCCTCCTTTACCACAGAATGAAATTTAATGAAATGTTCACAGAATCTTTAATATTACGTGGTGTCATTGTGAACCATCTCCTATTTTACATTTTGATCAGACAGATAATGGGGTTTCCCATAACAAAACCTGGATATTGCCATTCTTTTTAT